TGGGTATTAGTTCGTCTATCTATTCAACTCCATTAATTACCAAACTTTACCCGAAAGTCTGGAATAATATTCTAGGAATATTTCCACTTTTATTTTTATATTTTGGGTACTTTTCCCTACATCCATTTATACCCCTTAATTTTCACAGAGTACATTTTTTACCTCCAAAGTGACTCCAATTCATTTAATTAAGTCTTATACTTAATTTTACTCACTAATACATGCTTAATTATTTAATTACATGTAATTTACTAATTAATTAGGCTAGGGCTATTATAAGAATTTAATTATCATGTTGTAACCCTTCGATTTGCGTGCAAAGCTTTTATTTTCTTTTTCATTTTTAATAAATGTGGGATCCACCACTAGTTGAGTCTCAACATGAGAATTCAATTCTCATGTAACATAAGAAAATCAAACCCTATATACATACATATATATATATATATATATATATATATATATATATATATAAGGGCATATTGTTCTTACATCGGTGTAAGAATAAGAAGCTTTATACTTAATCTTGATCATTGATCTGCTTAAATTTAGTGGCACATCTATAATAAATCAGAGCCATTAGATATAAATAGGATCAATAGTCAAATTGAAAGTGTAACTTACACTGGAGTAAAATGATCATGACCCATAAAAATGGTTGTAAGAGATTGTAAGTATAATCTGCCACATATATATAGGCCAGTGATATGCGTCCAGCATATGATGCTTTCTAAGCTAAAAGAAGCAAGGAATTGATCATAAATGAGTGAAAATAGTTCATAAATGTTAGAAATATTGATTATTCCTTCTCAATCATTCTCTCACTCAATTTATACATTTTGACAGCCGAAAACATAAAAAAGAAGTGAAAAGAGAGAAGTCAACAGTGCAAGTCCCGCGCGAACCACTCGGTGAATGGCACGATCCGCGCCATAAGACCAATTGCTCTCTGTTTTGCCGCCGCGCAGATTTGGCGTAGAACGCACGGGCGGCTTTTATGATTACTAATTATTGCGAATTATATCTGATTAAGCCCAATTCGATGGTAATTTTGGAAGACCTTTGCCTAACCCTAATAAGGGAGATCAGAAAGGAAGGGAGGACACTTTTTGGTGGGGGAGAAGAGAATAAAAAGAAGAGAGTGAGAGAATTCTTGAGAGTTCTTGGAGCGTTTGAAGAATCTCACAATCAAGATTGAGGATCGTCATCATATTCTTCATCATTAGGTTCTGAACTTTATTTTCTTTTACATTGAATTCGTCATACATGAATATGTCTGGCTAGTTTTTGTTATTGTGGTAAGGGTCGCAACCCTTAATGTTAACCCCTTGTAGTTTGCTTAACTTTATATTTTTTTATTCTAATTGAGTTTATTTTGCCTTGTTCTTCATCTCATAATTCTTCTAGAACCGATCAATCTATTAGGATTTTGAAGGTTAGAGTTTTCAATAGGGATATTGCGATTCTAATTCCTGACAAAATGTAAGATAACTGTTCATGTATGCACTAAGGATAGGCTACATGAACCGCAAACGTGAAAGATTCACTGATTCTAAGGCTTAGCTTGAAAAGAAATTTCTAAGGGATTAGGATTCTAATAGAGTTAATAAGGTTAAAGTCATTAAGGAATTATGGCTTAACCAATTAAATAAAAGATAGTGAATCGTTTGATCAATTGCATAATTAAACTTAAACGTTAATTCAGGTTACAAGGTGGGGATCATAAAGGTGTTTGTTTCTTTTTACCTCAATATCTTCTCAAATATTTTCTCAACCATTAATCTTTTGTTCTTGAGTTTAAAAAGAATCTTGGAAACTATTTTTACTTTATTGATATGTTCTTGTTTTTCACAAATCACAATTGTTCTTTAAATCAATTTTATTAATCCGACAAGAAAGGAATAGTTATTAGTTATAATAAATTTGGTGTCTCAATCCTCGTGGAGACGATACTCTACTTATCACTTATTACTTGGAACGATCGGTACACTTGCCGAGTTTGCAATAGCCAGATTCTTTGATTATAGTGTCAAATTAAAAGTTTGACACCTGATTTGAGAGCCGTGAGATCAAGACAGATCAATGATGTTATATGCTTATAAATCAAAGTCGTTAGATCAAGACAATATCAACGACTCTCACTTAAAAATAAGTGGATCCCATTGTAAAGAGAAGTGAGAGAAAATACTAGTGGAACTCACTCATTTTTATGTGAGTGACAAATAAATTTTATGTGCAGCAAAAACAGAAACATTAAACATATATATATGTAGGACATGATCATTTAACACCAATATTAAACTAAAGAGTTTGATATCAAATCTTAATTGTTAATTTTAGTCTATCTAACAGTTATGATTTTTTGGGAGTTAATAATTAATTAATAAGTGTGACCCAATAAATTATAACCGTTAGATTGACATAAATCAACAGTTAAGATTTGATGTCAAACTTTTTAATTTGACTCCGGTGTCAAAAGAACCTGCCTCTATACATATATATATGTGTGTGTGTGTGTGAGAAAAATGTTTCTCCTATAAGAGGAGATAAAATTATCTCCTGTAAATTAAGTCCTGTGATAGGAGAAATGTTAATTCTTATATATAAAGGGTCTATTTTTTCTGTAGTCATTGCATGTTTTTTTAGTAGCAGACATAGAAAAAGTGGAACCCACTTTTTTTTTTTTTTTTTAAAGTCAGGATCCGTTGACGTATTCTGATTACTCTGATTTGCTACAAATTTTTTTTCACAGCAATAGCAGAGTTATATTCCTCATGTATATATAGATGAGGTAGGATCTTTTGACACCTCATTTGAGAGTCGTTAGATCAAAAAAGATCAACGACTCTGATTTGTAAGCATGTGACATCATTGATCTTTTTTGATCTAACTACTATCAGATGAGATGTCAAATTTTAAATTTGACTGATCCTACTTTTATATATATATATATATATATATATATATATATATATATATATATATATATATATATGGATCAATTTACACTAAGATAAAAATAATAATTTTTACATTCATTATCCACCGTTAATTCTACTTTCCTCTAATGATTCACATAAACTCCTATCTCCAATAAATTAGAACCGTAAGGTACCCTGTCTACGTTGTGATTGAATAGGAAAAATCTCACTAAGAAAAAAACAACTGAGATTGGATATACCTAAAAAGAGTCTTTGGACACAGTTAACAAAAACAAATACATTATTTAAAGAAGCTGCTCGTAACTAGAAACCACCAATAGTTGTGTGGTCAAAAGATTTTACAAAGAATAGACTTATAAAATGCATCTCTTAGGCTGTGTTGGGACCGAATCTATCATATTTATCTCTGAATATTCTTTCTTGTTCAACACAATTTCGAAACGTAGCAAGTTGATATGGTAAACAAACATTGGCAGTTTCAGATAAAAACAAACATTTAAATATATTGAAAAAAACCATTAAACCACCTCGTATTGCTGTGACTACGAGTAGTTTTAAATGAAGGTGGGACCATAATGGTGCGTGATTTCGGCATTTACGTCTATTGGTAAACAAAAAGCTGTTCCTATATACGTTAGACTTTATAGTAGCCATCTGGGTCTTTGGCCCTGTTTTTACTTCAAAAATAAATAAATAAAGTAGCATGTTATATTTATAAACTTTTTTATTTATAAATTCTTATAAATTACACTATTTTTTTGAGAGAACACTTATTATACTATGTTATCCCGAAAGAACATAGTATAATTTGTAAAAAATTTTAAATTTTTTTTGTAAACGGATCCTTCCCTATAAATAAAATTAGTATAATCGGATATTTTATTTCACATGAAGTCCATAAAGATGAGTATATATGGAAATGTTGGTTTGAGAAATAAATAAATAAATAAATAAAATTAGTACAATAGGATATTTTATTTCACATGACGTCCATAAAGATGAGTATATATGGAAATGTTGGTTTGAGTTATTTATGTGGTTTATTAATCTCATAAATAAAATGTCTAAATTGTATTATTTTGATTTTTTCAGTTGAACCACCTTTCACTATCTTTATGTGCATATCTTTCACTCCAGGCAATATCCTCACCTGCAGCTCAATTATATATTATTTACTATACCCTTCACAATTTTCTATATTTATATTTCAGGACTCAATTTATCTGATTTTTCACATTCACAAAAGTGGGTATAGTTCAGTTCAGTTTCATTTTTAGCTAGAACTGAATCAAATTGGTAAAGTGATTCGGTTTGAGCCAATTTTGAAAAAATAGTTCAATTCTTGAATGAGTTCAAAGAAAATATGTTTTTTTTATGCTGTTCGAATCAATTCATTGTTCAATTTGATTTATTTGATTTTTTTATATATCCCTACTTTTAACTACTGACATGAACATCGGAGTCCCTACAAATAAATCACCACCTATCGTCCAACCACAAAATACATAGAAACCTTTCAAGCAGCTCGGATAATTACTATCAATCACTTCGTATGACCATAAGGGAGATTAGATTCAAGCAACCACCTAGTCCATCGACCTCAGACCAAATAGTAAACAACTTTTTTTATAACCCTTTCTTGTCATTGTATAAAATGTCATACTAATTTTATTAACAAAAAATAGCTCAAAATATTTAGTGAAACTAACATAAAATTTTATCTCATAATAAACAGAATATTAAAAAGAGAAAGTCAAACAATATTATGATTGTAAGTAGTTTTTACTCTTACAAAAAAGGGGGTGCTGCAATGAGCTTTAGGTAATTTGATTTCACAAACTGGTCCAGTTTTTTTTTTATCAATTTTGAACCTACCAATATATGCATGCTGGAATTGTAAATTTGTTCTGAAATTGGGCCATTTTTTAATTAAGAAAGCGAAAGCTTAATAAAACCAATAGTTGCTTACTCAATCTGATATTGACCCCGTAGTCATAGTATCCATTTGGGAAAAATAAACATGAGCCACTTGTTAGCAAACAACTCATCAGAGGTTCTCTTTCCTATTTCACCAGAAAAATTGCCAGTATCTATGACTCAACTACTTTTTCAACATCTATAACCCCATTCTTCTCCAAAGTTGTTTACTACCATAACCATAAATTAATAAGACTCTTTCTCTGATTTTCTTACCTTCTATATATTTCTCAACCCCAATAGAACACTTTTTACACCTTTTCTTCATTCTATGTTCTCCTCTTCTTTATGTGAGATTGAAAATCCTCTTAGGCCACAACTTTGTTAAGGTATATATTCTATCCCTTTACTTTTTTTCTTCTTTTCTCCCCCATACGGGGTTGATGATCCTAATGAAAATATGTTTCTTTCTTATTGTTTTCAGAGAGGGTGAATTGGTGAAGGTTTTGAAGGAATTGTCAAGGCTTATATATATGTCATGACAACTTGTTGACAGAAGAGAGAGAGCACAACTGAACATACCCAAAAGACTTTTTGTGTGTGAGCAGTGTTGTACTCTCTGTTCTTCTGTCAACGTACTAGGTTTCTCACAAGCTAGCTATGTATAGTCCCTTAACTCCATGAAAATGTTCTGTTGATTTTCTTGAACATGCATATTTCTTATGGAGTAAACCCTGGTAAGTACTTATTTTTCCTTTAACCTGCTGTTGTTTATGTGAATATATTTTCAGCCATACATATTTTGTGTGTGTGTGTATTGCAATTGAGACACTACATTCCATAACACTAAGTTGAAGGCACACACATAGTATAATACACTCATGAATAGATATTCTCATGTTAAAATTTCACATGATCATGATTCATGACTACCATCTGACAAAAATATCTATGTTCATTTTAATTTTTAATGTGATAGGAAAAATAAAAAAAAGAACACAATTTAACCTGCCACTATCCGGGGCTAACTATAATCACTTAGAAAAGCTTGATTTTGAAGGGGTGATCCATCTTGTTTTGATTAATTGCAAGGACACTCGTTTATTTGTAATGGCAATAAATATCATGATTATGTTAAAATGGTACTCCATGTTCGTTTTTGATACAATTTTCTTTAACTAGACTAAGTTGGATTCTAGGAGATTTTGTATACTTATATAAAGAGAATCTTCAAAGTGCATTGCATATTGATGGGGAAATAAACTTTAGCTGTCATTGCAAATAAATAAGTATACGTGCTCCCTGTTCCTTGTTTCTTTTTTTATCAAACTCAAACCATAAAGCCTTGTCTTTTATGTGAATTTAGAAAATATTTAGAGTAGGTATATCATTTATTAAATATGGTAAAAAATAACATTTATACTATTCCATTTTATTGGTTATTTCCCCTCATATTCTATTATTTTTTCAGTTTTTAATAAGGAAATAAGTACTCTCGTAGCATGTTCTTGTAAATTTGAAAGCAAATGATCATTTTATTTTTCCTTTTTATTATAGTTTTGAATGCAGGCCCTGTGGGTGCGGAGAGTAGAAAATAACAGAATATTTATTAGTTATAAATCCATAAACAATTCGAATTCCTCATTATGGTGGATGCCATATTTTTTTAAAAAAATTCTATTTCGATACATGAATATACACTGATCCTTTTTTCTCTTAACCATTAATTTTTTTTTTTTTTTGATAACACTTAACCATTAATTTTACATTGTGTAGTTTTGACACAAGGTAGGGGTTCAAATCTTCGCAATACGTAAGAGAATTAATTAACCTAAAAGGCATTAAGCTAACGTGGGGGTGAAAAACTAAAATCGTCATGAACTTAGGTCCTTTTGTTTTAAATTTTGGTATAATTAATTTTGAAAGTATTGATGTTAAATTTTTTTATTTATGTTTGAAGAAATTATTTTTTTTATGTTACTCAACTAACTATGTTAATTACTTACTAATATATTCGTGTTAAAAGAATAAGAACCCAGCAAGTGCATTCATCTGTCTTCATATGGAAATCTCACCTATTATAATGTAACTCTAGAGTATAGCTAGGAAAGTATGAAAGTAGATATGTAAGTTGATCCTATCTCATATATATATATATATATATATATATATATATATATATATATATGACAAAATGATTTCTGCAGCTGCTGTACCTACAGTAAGCAAGGATCTGTGTCCGGATCCTAGGATACGACAATGGATCCTGAGTTTTTTTTATTTTTAAAAAAGCCGTGGGGCCCACTTTTCTGTGTCAGCTGTAAATAACACTATCTACGGCTGCTGCAGAAATGTTAAGCCCTATATATATATATATATATATGGATAATTCGCAAGGATAAAAATCAACTTGATGTGTAGGGCATTGTTGATGCCATACCATGCCATTTAGGGGTGTGCAAAAAAACTGGTTCACTTGCCCTGCCCTTGATCCGACCTTGATCCGACCCATAAATACCCATATTTTTTGAACTGGTATAAATACTGACCCACTTTTATTTGGGACAGTTTTAGACCTGACTCGTTTTAATATTGACCCACTAACCCAAAACTTGACCCATACCCATTATGTGAAAAAAAAATCATAATTACATTAAAAGAAAAGTTTTAAAGTAAAACAATTACGTCAAAATTTTTTATGGAAAATATTTTCATAAAAATTTTCGCAAAAATTTTTGACGAAAAATATTTTCATCAAAATTTGTGACTAAAAACATATCGGTAAAAAAATTTGACGGAATATTTTTTTTGTCAAATTTTTTTACGGAATCTAAATTTCGTCAAAATATTTCACAAAAAAATATATTCATAAAAACTTTCGACGAAACACATTTTCATTGAAATTCTTTGACGGAAAAAATTTCATCAAAATTCTTTACAAATTTCAAATTTCGGCGAAAGTTTTCGACGGAAACATTTTTGTTAAACTTTTTGACAAAAAAAAATTTCGTCGAAATTTTTAGCGAAACATATTTCTATCAAAAAATTTCGACTAAATATTTACGTCAAGTTTTTTGATAAAGAATATATCCATCAAAATTTTCAACGGAACACATTTCTGTAAAAAAATTCTTAAAACATTTTGACAAAAATATTTCGATAAGAAATTTTGACAAAAAAAATATTTTTTCTAAATTCTTTAGAGAATCTAAATTTCGTCGAAAGTTTCAAACGAAACATTTTCCTCAAAACAATTTTCATTGAAAATTTTGACGAAAAACATTTCTATCAAAAAAATTCGACGGCAAAAAATTTCATTAAAATTCTTTACAGATTTCAAATTTCAGCGAAAGTTTTCGACGGAAATATTTTCGTCATCAAAAAATTTTGACGGAAAAAAATTTCATCAAAATTCTTTACAGATTTCAAATTTTGGCGAAAGTTTTCGACGAAAACATTTTCGTCATCAAGAAATTTTCACGGCCAAAAATATCGACGACAAAAAATTTCATCAAAATTCTTTACAGATTTCAAATTTCGGCAAAAGTTTTCGACGGAAATATTTTCGTCGTCAAAAAATTTCATCAAAATTCTTTACAAATTTCAAATTTTGGCAAAAGTTTTCGAAGGAAACATTTTCGTCATCAAAAAATTTTGACGGCAAAAAAATTCATCAAAATTCTTTACAAATTTCAAATTTCGGCGAAAGTTTTCGACGAAAAAATTTTCGTTAAAATTTTTGAAAAAAAAAAATTTTCGTCAAAATTTTTAGCGAAACACATTTCCATAGAAAATTTTCAACTAAATATTTTCTTCAAGTTTTTTGATAAAAAACTTCCATCAAAATTTTCAACGAAACACATTTGTATAAAAAAATTCCGTAAATTTTTTTGACAAAAAAAACATTTTGACGAAAAAAATATCTGTCAAAATTCTTTAGAGAATCTAAATTTCGTCGAAAGTTTCAAATGAAACATTTCCCTCGAAATAATTTTCATCAGAACACATTCCCATCGAAATTTTGAACGAAAGACATTCCGTCAAATTTTTTGACAAAATCCTTTTTCGTTTAAAACATTTGATGGATGAAATCATTTTCGTCAAAACTGTTGACGGAAACTAAATTTCAATTGAAATTTTTTTTTTGTAAATTTTCGACGAAAAAATAATTTTGTGACGAAATTTTCGTCTTTTGCAACGTAAAAATTTTGACAAAATTTTGTGAGAAAACCAAGTCAAAAACGGGTCAGGTCAGATTTGACCCAGTTCAGAAACCAAGTCAGTCCCACTTCAGAAACCAAGTCAGGTCAGATCCAAACTTGTTCTGAACTAGTTCAACAAAATCCAATCCAAGTCAGACCTGACTTGGATCAAATTAAAGCGGGTCAGGTCAAAATACCTGACCTATAAAAACCAAGTTGGGTCGAGTCGAACAAAAATCCGACCCGACCTGACCCATGCACAGCTCTAAATTGCCATTGGGAGGTTCATGCCCGTTACATTAGAGTAGCCTAGACCATTTACAAAATAATTTTGTCAAGACTAACACCATGGTTGTTCCAATATAATGATATCCTAATTTGATTATTAAATTCGGATTTTATTTTCTGCCGTGGTGGTATGAAGATGAAGGAAAAGACAAGAAATCTTGACACCTATAGACAAAACTTTGCAATGTACTTATATGATCTTTTATGCACGTGAGGTAATATTTATCTCACTTTAGAAATGTAAGAATATGATCCTTTATTTGGGTTTTAGTAACTAGCCCTATAACCAGGGCTTATGTGGTCAGTCCAGAACACAGGCACATGCAATTCATACGATGAATTTTACTATTGTTTTTCTATTTACTTTTATCTCTTTATAAATTCCACTTCTTTATTTACATATCTTGGCTTGAAGGTACAAGTTTAATGGATTTTTGTAGCATTACCATCTTTGCCATGAATCAAAGAAGAGGAAAACAACTCTCAGTGTTGGAGAGTTGTTTCTCTTATTTCTCACCTTTCAATTTTTGTATTATAGTTTTTTAATAGATGTGGGTCTCACCATACCTTAAGTCTACAACATGAGATATTATATCTCTAACAATAGGAGAAAATCGAGACCCGCCAAATAATACTCAAACTTTTTTCACAACACATTAAAGAAATTTAACTAACTCAAACAACAATTTTCAAGAATAAATATAGCTAATTATAATTACTCACTATCCTAACTTCTGAGCACTCCTTTGAAATTAGTGGTTTCTTCTTCCAATTTTGCCTGGTTATGAATCACAAGATACATCCTCAAAACTTCAAAGTTCAAACTATCACAATTCACACATAATATTTTTAAAGTACACACGGAAGCAAAAACAATATCAAGGTAAAGAACACAATAGGTTAACTATAAATCACATAACTCTACGTTGTTAGACTTTGTGCTGCTCAAACCTCAGATTAAATGCCAAAACAAAGTACTCAATAAATGATTGTGCATTGTGTAAAAATAAAGGCATCAAGGATCAACAGGAGGTTAATTTATTTTGAAAGATCAACCCATCACACAGCAACCAAAACCCCTACCTAAAAATAATTGATTTGGAATAAATAGGAAGTTCACTTGTGAAAGTTTTTACCATGAAAAAATCCCACTTATAAAGCTTTCACCGAGAAGAAAGATATATCAGCAATTCTCTCAAAGTCAACAAAGATTGTCCTGCATCTCAGCAAGCAATCCATGCACCTCAGAAAGCCACTTTCTGCAACTCTTCTGTAAAGATTATCTCATACCACCTATATATAGAAACCATTTAGAAAGCTTTACTGCCTCACCACTTGTAACAACTTGTAGAGACAAACCCCAAAGCTAGTCACCCCCTCAGTATAAGTACAAGTGAGCTAAATAGAAAGAAGATCATCTTCTTCTACATGAAAAATATGCTTGCTATGGGTTAAAGTTGCATCAAATCACTTGTGTAGAAAAAGATCATCATAATCATTCCAAATAAAAATGATTCTGGTCAATAATCAAATAGAAAAAGGAAAAAAAAAAAAATCCTAACTCACATACTGTGCAAATCAACCTATGATCTCACCAGTTGACTAGGATATAGGGTTGTGCATGGGTCAGGTCGGGTCAGGTTTTTGTCCGACTCGACCCAACTTGGTTTTTATAGGTCAGGTATTTTGACCCGACCCGCTTTAATTTGATCCAAGTCAGGTCTGACTTGGATTGGATTTTGTTGAACTAGTTCAGAACCAGTTTGGATCTGACCTAACTTGGTTTTTGAAGTGGGTCTGACTTGGTTTCTGAACTGGGTCAAATCTGACCTGACCCGTTTGTGACTTGGTTTTCTCACAAAATTTTGTCGAAATTTTTACGTTGCAAAAGACGAAAATTTCGTCAAAAAATAATTTTTTCGTCGAAATTTTTACAAAAAAAAAAATTTCTATTGAAATTTAGTTTCCGTCAACAGTTTTGACGAAAATGATTTCTTCCATCAAATGTTTTAAACGAAAAAAGAATTTTGTCAAAAAATTTGACGGAATATTTTTCGTTCAAAATTTCGATGGGAATGTGTTCTAACGAAAATTTTGACGGAAATTATTTCGAGGGAAATGTTTCATTTGAAACTTTCGACGAAATTTAGATTCTCTAAAGAATTTTGACAGAATATTTTTTTCGTCAAAACGTTTTTTTTGTCAAAAAAATTTACGGAATTTTTTATAAAAATGTGTTTCGTTGAAAATTTTGATGGAAATTTTTTATCAAAAAACTTGACGAAAATATTTAGTTGAAAATTTTCGATGGAAATGTATTTCGCTAAAAATTTCGACGAAAATTTTTTTTTGTCCAAAAATTTAACGAAAATATTTTTGTCGAAAACTTTCGCCGAAATTTGAAATGTGTAAAGAATTTTGATGAATTTTTTTGCAGTCGAAACTTTTTGCCGTCAAAATTTTTTGATGACGAAAATTTTTCCGTCGAAAACTTTTGCCGAAATTTGAAATATGTAAAGAATTTTGATGAAATTTTTGCCGTCGATATTTTTGGCCGTCAAAATTTTTGATGACGAAAATGTTTCCGTTGAAAACTTTCGCCAAAATTTGAAATCTATAAAGAATTTTGATTAAATTTTTTGCCATTGAAATTTTTTGCCGTCAAAATTTTTTGATGACGAAAATATTTCTGTGAAAACTTTCGCCGAAATTTGAAATCTGTAAAGAATTTTAATGAAATTTTTTGCCATCGAAATTTTTTGATGAAAATATGTTTCGTCGAAATTTTCAATGGAAATTGTTTTGAGGAAAATGTTTCATTTGAAATTTTGACATAATTGTTTTACGTTAAAACTTTTATTTTAATGTAATTGTGAAAAAAAAATTCACATAATGGGTATGGGTCAAGTTTTGGGTCAGTGGGTCAATATTAAAACGAGTCAGGTCTAAAACTGACCCAAATAAAAGTGGGTCAGTATGTAAACCAGTTCAAAAAATATGGGAATTTATGGGTCGGGTCAAGGTCGGATCAAGGGCAGGGCAAGTAAACCAGTTTTTTTGCACACCCCTTCTAGGATATTGTGAAGGGCATGTCTTGTAATTTATGAAATAAAACAGGGACATTTTGGATATGCAATTTCTCTCTAATATGTTGCACCTCTGTTTTATCCTAACTTCAAGTGTGCCTCACAGTCACAAGTAAATGAGAAATGTTTCTTCTACATATAGCATTCTACACCCCTCCCATGTACCTATAAACAATGTCTAAATTATTGGTTAAATTGATTATTGAAATAGTAATATATTCCAATTTATCGCAAACGAATTCCTATTTGAAATAGTAATATATTCCAATTATCAAATTATTGGTCCAGGGGAAGCCCGTGGCGGGGAGCTACCACCAATGAGCTAAGGCTACACCAACCGTAGCAAGTGGATCCGACACCATGTTTCAACCCAAAACTTAAGGCATTGGGTTCATGGGTCCTTTCACTTATATACTCTTCACTTAGCTCATTACCAACCAATGTGGGACTCATCACACTTGTATATCTCAACAGTTATAAGTTCAACTCAGTGTTCACATTATATATATATATATATATATATATATATATATATATATATATATATATATATATATATATATATATATATATATATATATATATATATATATATATATATATATATATATTTACACCAGTGTAAGTTACACTCTTAATCTTATTCGTTGATCTCATTTATATCTAAGGGCTCAAATTTTTTAGTAATGTGAGCCATTGGATACAAGTGGATCAATGGTTAAGATTGAGTGTAAGACTTCTAACTCTTACACCGGTGTAAGAATATCCTGCCCCTATATATATATATATATATATATATATATATATATATATATATTATTCTTACACTGATGTAAGAGTTAGAAGTCTTACACTCAATCTTGATCATTGATCTACTTGTATCCAATGGCTCACATTACTAAAAAATTTGAGCCCTTAAATATAAATGAGATCAATGGACAAGATTAAGAGTGTAACTTACACTGGTGTAAAATGATCCTTATCCATATATATATATATATATATATATATATATATATATATATATATATATATATATAGTTAATTGGTATTAATGTATCTAGTTGTTGATGAGTTTAAGACTCGAGCAGTCTACTTTTAAATTTCAATTTTAGCAAGGACAAACTATACAAAGGATCCAAAAACAAAGTGACATATGTTCCTTTTAGCAAAGATTTTTTTAAGTTATGCTCCGATTTTAAGTCGATCGTGAGTTGTAAGATTTCCCGTTAAGCTGGGAAGTGAGGGAATATCTTGTATATTAGATTTTATTTAAGGGCGTTATTAATCTTATGTTGTTGGATAAAAGTTAGCTTGAGTTGACACATGTTTTTCAGGATACGATTCCGTATCTTATGTGATTACTGCAAATAATTTCCCTTTTGTGTAGCTGAAGAGACATATATCCCTTTATTTAATTATGTTATATTAAAATCTTACATAAATCATTTTTTGTGGAGACCTCAGGCTTATTCTCTAATGCTCAGTTAGACCCATCCTTAACGTCAATGTAATAAGAAATGAAACCTAATTAAGTTACTATTATGTTTTGTATAGAGAATGCTTAATATAAAAAAAGGTGAAAAATAATTAAAATCAAGAATGTAATCTGGGTGTGTGCCATTCTCCCCCTGTAGCCTCTCTTTAATCTTATTTAAGAGTTATAGAAAATTTTGAGATAAACTAAAATTCAAATATAATCACTATGTGACAAAAGTATCAGAACAAATAATGTTAAAACAAAAATTTGGGGCATTCCGAGAATTGAACTCGGGACCTCTCGCACCCTAAGCGAGAATCATACCACTAGACCAAATGCCCTTCGGTAGTAGGAGTTTGATATTAACAAGATTTCATTTATTAACTATTTCAGAATATTTTTGCCGTGACAAGAAGGTTTCTAGACGTTTCCAGGTCGTTATGTATAATGATTACATATATTTGTTGCAGCTTTTTTTTTTTTTTTTTGTATAAAAAATTTGTTGCAGCTTTATTGAAGCATGTATTAAGATTAAGAAAGACCTCACTATTGGGGGGAATATGAGTTGGACCTGTTTACAGGAATTTACGGTCTAACTTATATCAAATCGGACTTAACCTATTATATATAGTCAAATAGAACAAATCTGAGCTTTTAAAGAAGCTTATTTAGAAAGTAGATAATAGACCTTTTTTTAACATACTGGACCTATAAACCTACAGGCCGGTCTGTATCATATTATTTATTTTAAATTAAATAAATTAATATTTATTTTTAGCTATTAAAAGTATCATGATATGTTTGTTGGATTTATGTAGTTATTTTAATTTACATAGTATAGATTTGTTTGTTGGATCTCATGAAATATATGTTATTTAGTTTGAGCATTTTGCTTTTAAAGTGACTTAAATGCAGATTGTGATGAGTTTTGTTGTGATTCATGGTTCTGTTTGGACGTTGAAATTGTGATTTTTGTTTTAGCAACAAGATTTGAGAATTGTATGAAGTTGATTCATGATTATGCTTGGAAGTTAAAAATTAACAGGCTAATGGGCCAAGTCAGGCCACTTGTTTTTTTTTTTTTTTTTTTATAAACGGCCAAGCCAGGCTAAGAGTTAGACTCGTACTAAGCTCGGGCTAGGCCAAATTAAATTTTTTTTGCATAGGCTTGAACTTTCGGGGCAAAGCTCGGCCTAACCCAGTCCATTTTAACCCCTACTGACCACACCTAATAATTAATTTCACTAGAAAAATAATGTGGTATTTATCATGGAAACACAAGTGAAATAATTGAAATGTAATGGTTATTAATTATTATTCATTTTATAAGATTAAATAAAGTAATGTTATTAAATTTGAAACGGTCAATGACTTTATCAAGATGCCAGGATAATGAGTCATTGTTGAACCGCTTAAATTAAATTTATATAAAAAATTAGAAATATATAAATAGAAGAAATATGACTTGTTAATAAGCATGTCAGTCCTATTTTTTTAGGTGTCAAGTTTAAATTCCAAGAGTCTAATTGTAATAGAACTAGTGTATTACCCGTGCGTTGCATGGAGGGAAAAAAATCGATTTGTTTGTCTCGTAAAAATTAACGCAACACATGCAAGATGCCGAACCTACATTTTTTATCCTTCATCCTCTGAGGAATGAATGACTAATAATGTACAAATGAAAGTATGAAAAAAAAACACATGAACATGTGAGTACAAATAAAAAGTGTCATAACAATACATCCATATATTGATGACGATGGAATATTGTTTGTTCAAAAATAGCCGTTAACAATATACCATGTGTGCATGAAAAACGATTCCTGCATGAGAAAAAATTAGCAGTTAAAAAAACCAAACGGTAACGAAAATAAGTAAAAAAGCACTCCATTGCCATTTTTTTTTTGTCTTTACCTGTACCAAGCAGTGATGTTATCTCATAGTAGACAGAAGGAAGTTCACGATATAAATCTTTGAAATACTTTCTTGTAAACTATATTAAGGGTACTATTTGTAACACAACCGTTTTCATCAAATATCAATATCTTCAATCCATGCTTGCTCTTTACTCTAGACAATGCCACATATAATTGCCCATGAGTGAAGATAGGCTTGGGGAGATAAATTACAACATGAGAAAGAGATTGTCCTTGGCTCTTATTGATAGTCATGGTAAATGAAACAATCAGGGGGAATTGTCTTCTTTGGAAATTTATAGAAAATGTGTGACTTGATGGGCTCATTGTCATTCTAGGGATTAACACAGTTTCACCTATATTGCTTCCTGTAAGAACAATTGCCTCAACAACATGATTCCCAATTTTGTAATGAGTAGCCTTGTGCCATTGCATAAACCTCTGAACTGATCAATATTTCTCAATAGCATTACTGGAACTTTAACCTTCAAGGTTAATTTATGATCAGGAATCCCCGAACACAATAATGTATTTAAGATCTCAGGTGTGAATTCATCATCTTCAACGGAGGAAGCCACATCTTGCTTCATAATTTTATCAGAACTCAAAAATATCCTTTCTTCACCAGGAATCATTGACATCAGGTGCTCGTTCAGCATAGCAACATCGGACAATTTAGGAGTTAAGATAGCACGTTCTTTGAAAAACGTTGGATCTAAAATATTATCCAAGAGATTCGGATAAACAAAATTAACCATATCTGAAACGGGATCATCTGATTATGTAATCAATAATTCATCTGGAATTGTTATCGTAGATTCTCCATCTTCATCATCTCCAAGATCACCATCCCCAACTTTAAGTAGCCACTCGGAAAATTCTTTTATTTCCTTCACATCATGAGTGGTACTTCCAGAATTAAGACGCATGTTCTTGGTCAAAGTTAATAAATGACAATGGGACTATAGTTGAGAAGAATTTATGGTTACATTTACTATCTCCTGTCTGCTGCCATGAGGAATGACTAGGTAATATTTGCCGAAAGTCACCTCCTAGAACGACAATTTTTCCACCAAATGGAATATCAACGTAGCTCGTGTCAGAAAATCTAAGAACATCTCTAAGTGTTTTATCCAAAGCCTCAAAACAAAATCTATGCACCATTGGTGCTTCATCCCAAATGATTAACTTCGTTTTTGACAGCAACTCTGCTATAGTAGAATTTGGCTTTATATTACACGTTGAATCTTCATTGATATGAATAGGAATACGAAATCTAGAATGTGATGTTCGTCCTCCAGAAAGCAGAAGGGAAGCAATTCCGCTAGAAGCAACATTAAGTACTATTTCAGCTTTTGATCTAACAGATGCTGAAAGAGTATTCCAAATAAATTTTTTTCCAGTACCACCAAATCCATATAGAAAGAATAACCCTACTTTACCTGCTGTAACTGCCAAAATGATTTTGTCATAAACAACTCTATGCTCATCAGTGAGGGAATTCAATAGTCTTTCATGCTCTTCTCCCAATGAAAATGTGTCATACATTAATTCATCAACCACTAATCGATTCTGCATATCAAGCAACGATTCCCTGGTGATGCGAGGCATTGACGGGTAATCAGAGAGGCATTTACCATTGCTCTGCAGCACCTTATCAATTTCAGCAAGTGTTATGTTTTTTATTCTTTCTTCTGTAAGAAGCGCATCTAAAAAAACCATAAAATTTAAAGAAAAAAAAGTTAAAATTAACAAAGAGAAAGATATAAAGGAAGATTTTAATTTTTCTGGAATCAACCTTCTCAGTACCGAAATAAATAATAAAGTAACATATGCTGAATTCGGGTAAAAAAATAGCGAAATAAACAGTAAAGCAACATATACTGATTTCGGTTTTTAAAAAATATAAATGCGTTAAATATTATCATAACACGTACCTTGACGCCCTATTCTTTTCCTATGCCGATAAAGAACGTCGTTGGATAAAAATTTCCAACACTCTTCCCAAACTTTTTCAGGCCTGTTCATTGAGTTGGAAAATAACAATACAGCAAACAGAGATCTAAGATAAGCAGCAGAACCCCATGAACTTGCCTCTTTAATTGCATCAATATACTCATTGTCATCATCTAGAAGTCCTAAAGAATAGCAGACATCCTTAAATGTAGGAAAAAGCACGCCATTGATTGTTCTAAGATCTTCATAACTGGTACACCCCCTTTGAAAAGTAAGCAACGTGCAAAGATAAGAATCTTCTCCATTATTGGCAGAAAAACGATTTATTCTCCCAATTGAAAATCCCATTTTTCTAGGATTCCATTCATGAGTTTGGTCTTTGTAAACAAATTCAGTCGGGTACTTTGCATAAGTTAGATGCCTACCTTCTAGATATTTTTTATTTGCATCCATCCAAGACTCAAAGATTGATAGTCTAGACTCCGCCCTTGTCTTGACATCAGAAATTAAAGCATTATCACTGAAAATAATGTTCTTTTCATTGGGCAGGTGAAATGACAATCTCTGAACAGAGGGTACCTGGAATGAATGTCAAATCCAAAAATTCTCCAAGCAGCTTCACATGCGGAGACATACCTATAATAAATAAATATTTAAAACAACAAAGTTGAAAGATCATGAAAAAAGACACGTCGATTTTTGGGAGAAGCAAAATCAGACCAGAGATAATTTTGAGTACCTGCAGTTATAAAACATTTTGATTTCATCTTCTGCATGATGTACGGCAGCTGTCACTCTATCATTCCCTTTGTGAATATATTTAAAAAGATATTTAATGGCACTTCTTTGGCAAGTATATTCAACATTGATATGAGCCTGATACTTTAAAAGAAGTTGTGCATTATACGGCACAACTTAACGATTATCAAGTTCAACACCATTTTTGTTCACAACTCTCGCATCATTTCTTCTCTTATAATGAGGGAATCCATCGTCATCAATAGAAGAACGAGAACATAAGTTTTTGGGAAAAATTTTTGAACACTGTCCGTCCTTCATGCAAGGAGATTTGTAATTTTCAGGACCACATGGACCATGTATCATGTAATTTGTGACAGCTTGAAACAGCAAAGGATTGGAATCCTTATCAGGAATTTTCGCTGAAATCAGTTTATCAATATCAAGAGCACTTTTAGGCTTGTTTGAAGGGTGGAAGAATAGCAGAATATCAGCATGAGGTAGTCCGCGCTTTTGGAATTCGATTGTACAAACATCTGTTACATTGACCAAAATACAACAAAAATAATGATAAGAAAATAACAATGCTATAGACAGATTTATTGCATGTCATGATAAATTCCCTTAAAACTTGATTTAAATTATGAATAAAAATTAAATAAGTTTAGCATATACTTACATGCAATAACTTTGCCAAGAACATTTTGTTTCCTCAAATCATGTAACAATTCGTCTAATTTGAACTTGAATACTCTGCATAGAATATCAGGCCTATCTTCAGGGCTAAGCTGTCTAGCCCTTACAACTCGTGTGATTTCTGGCCACTTAGGATTGCAGGTAATTGTTATAAAAAGATGAGGATACCCAGCCCAACGGCAAATTGCAAAAGCATCTTTACAATTTTCCACCATATATCTAGGTCTGCCTGTGAATGAAGTAGGTATAATGATACGCTTTCCAGTATTTACGGCTACATCTTCACCTCTGTCGAATGAATGTTTTATATTTTTGTACAACTCAGCTCTAAGATGACTCTGGTTATATCAAATGAAATTAAGTCGTTCAAACTCAATCGTAGTGTACGCATCAACCAGGAATTGTAGGAAAAGCTTATTTGATCGAAGGAGAATTTCTGACTCTCCTGATCGCATCTGTAAGTCGAAAAGAAAAGAATTCCTTCATGCTAATAACAGCTCTTGCATTAGTCCTACCACTGGACATGACAGTACGCTGGACATCATCGTGATAACCATCTTCACCGTAAGGAAATAACAATGGATACTGCAAGCCAAGATATAATGGATGCTTCACATCGATGCGCTGCAGTACTCTATCTTGGGTCTCAATAATGATATCCCTATCACATATAGCACTGTCTATATCTCCAACAATCAAAGCAGCCACTTCGGATGCTGTCGAAAGATTATAAACTCTTCCATCACTACCACGCTTTCGAATAAGCCTCAACTTCACACCATTAAAGTCATATTCTTTATAACGGTCTCTAGCGCACCGGAAAGACTGAGCTATACTATTGTGCTTATCCAACATCTGCTTCAACGATAGGATAATTTCGGGATCGAGCTTATCTTCAGTACTTGTGGAACTGCAAATATAATTACAAAATAAATCATTCGCTAATATGAAATAAACATAAAAATATAACCCATAAATGAACAATGAGATTTTGTCAGAAAATGAATATGCCTTAGACAACCCAGTCTGTTGTCCACTTCGTGGTCAGTATCATATATATGCAGCTGAGCAAATTTTGGAGTCTAACTATCAGCCGGTAGAAGACTACCCATTAAATGATGAACTCGCCCCCAACTCTAAAACAGTATAGGCCAAAACATTGATTTACTGATCCATCCACTTTTGCTCCAAAGGATGTGAAGGAAAAAATCATGTTGTACGCTATGATATTTCGCAAAAAATGGCGGCTCCTCGCATTTGAATTAACATGCAATTGAAGCAAAGTATCTGGAGCAGCTTTCAATAAATGAAGTTTAACTTTTCCATTGCCGCAACATAAAGTAAATTGTGGTGTACTTGGCTTACGATCCTTCTTATTTCTCTCTTCATACCACATGTTTGCTCCACAATGGTCACAGACAAAAGTAGGATCCCCAGCGTCCCAATATTCTAAAATTTTACAAAAAATGCAGTCTGAACGTTAGACGGATAATATCATTTGTAAACAAAAAAATCAAATAGAAATTAAAATAAAGACCTTCATTGTTAGAAGTCGTGCTAGGCACATTGGAATTATTGATTTCTATATCTGTTACACAAAGAAAAAATGGATCGAGAACAAAAAAAATACATTTCAATACCATTTTTTTTATGTACTCAAAGAAAAAATAGGTACAATAATCGAACACAAAGAAATAAAATAATAAAAAATTTAAAAGTAATACAAAGACCGTTGCTGATAGAAATCATATTTGGCATAATGGAATTATTTATATGCATATTTGAAACAAAAAAATGTAAATAATAAAAAAGACAGCTCAACACTATTTTATTTTTCCAATATATTAAATTTATCAATTGTGCACCTTCACTGGTAGAGGTAATGTCTGGCATATTTCTGTCATTGATTTCAGAATCTGCAACAGCATTGAATTTTTTTAAAAATTAACAAAAGAAAGTTTCATATAATGAATCAAGCAAATGCTCTCCATTTGTACTATGAGTAGGAATCAACAGAGTACATGTATTAATTTTTTTATAACACATGGTTATAGTTCATTTGACTCAAGGATGAATTACCTGTTAAGTCAAGCATCTTCAGTATATCGTTTATCGCTACACATTGCTTAGAAGCTTTCTTTTGAAACATTAATCCTTTCCGCCTAATTGTAGCATTTTGGCCAACTAAAAAAAAAAGCAACAAAACTTTAACCATTGTAATTTTGCATTTGTAGTTGACATGAAATATTACCTTATATGACCCTAACTAAAATGCGTAATTTACAGAAAACATTACCTTCCATGGGAAGAGAATGAATATAATCCTTAGCAATGGTTGATCTAACATTCGACAGAGTATGCTTATTGTTTCCGTATGCACTGATTGTTTAAAAAAAAGAATTTAACATATTATTCATAAGTTGGGCTTGCCTTTTATAAGAAAAGTAACATGCGTTAAAATATAACGCTTAAAAAACACATATGCAAGTACCTGCCAACGGTTGACGGAGTCAACGGAGTTAGATTTTCTACGCAACATAGATAAAGTAAATTAGATGCCAACACAACTATGGCGCAGAAAAAATTCAAAATTGACATAATATATGTTTTTTTTATTTTCGTAACAACAATAAAAATTCTGTACAGGAGAAAGAGAGTTACATACCATTAGTTATATCACGAAGATGTTGTCTGCTGCATGTAAACTCATTTCGTTCACTGGTGATATGAGTAAGGCTGTAAGTTTTAAAACAGAAAAAAAAATGAATGAATAATAATGAAATTTAAATGAATCAGCAGACTTGCAATAAAATTACCTGCCAATGGTGGACGCAGATAACGGAGAAAGATTTTCTACATAAAAAAAATACAAATTTCATAAAATATAAGAACAAAACTAATGATAGTTCATCCTCTTATAACACACTATTGCAGTTCAATTTAGTCGAACATGAATTACCTGTTAAGTGAAGCATACGTGGTATATCGTTTTATGTTACGCATTTCTTAGAAGTTTTCCTTTGAACCATTATACCTTTCCGCCTTAATCTAGCATTTTTTCTATCTAAAAAATGTAATAAAAAAACAACAACAAAACGTTAACCACTTTAAGTTTCATACAGACTTCATATGAAATATCAGATTATACATTTGTAAGAAATGCATAATTTACAGAAAACATTACCTTCCGTGGGAGGAGAATGAATATCATCTTTAGCAATGGTTGATCTAACACTCGACAGAGTATGCTTATTATTTTCGTATGCACTGCTTGGTTAAAAAAAAAAAATTAACATATTATTCATAAGTTGGGCTTGCCTTTTATAAGAAAAGTAACATGCGCTAAAATTTAAGGCTAAGTAAACACACATAATGTACCTGCCAACGAATGACGGAGTCAACGAAGTTAGATTTTCTACGCAATATAGATAAAATACATTAGATGGCAACACAACTATGGCGGAAAAAAATAAAATTTGACATAATATAATTTTTTTATTTTGTACGTAACAACAATCAAAATTCTGTACAGGAGAGAGAGTTACGTACCATTAGTTATATCATGAAGATGTTGTCTGCTGCATGTAAACTCATTCCGTTCACTTGTGATCTGAGTAAGGCTGTAAGTTTTAAAACAGAAAGGAAAAATGAATGATTAATACTCAAATCTAAATGAATTAACCTAAGCAATAAAGTTACCTGCCAATGGTGGACGCTAGATAACGGAGAAAGATTTTCTACATAAAAAAAATACAGATTTAAAAACATATAAGAACACAACTAATCAGAGTTCATCCTCTTATGACACACGGCTGCAGTTTAACTTAGTCGAACATGAATTACCTGTTAAGTGAAGCATACGTGGTATATCTTGTGATGTTACACATGTCTCAGAAGTTTTCTTTTGAACCATTATACCTTTCCGCCTTAATCTAGCATTTTTGCTATCTAAAAAATATAATTAAAAAAAAAAAAACGTTAAAAACTATAAGTTTCATACAGACTTGATATGAAATATGAAATTATACATTTATAAGAAATGCGTAATTTATAGAAAACATTACCTTCCGTCGGAGTATGTTTTTTGTTTCCGTATGCTTTTTGTTTTCGTATGATTTGGTGAGCAAAAAATTTAAAATACTCTATATGCCATGAAATATAGATAATATAAATTAGATGTCGACACAGTAATGCCAATTTTATCGAAGATAGTAAGTAAAATTAGAGGCTTAATGATGGAAGGGATTACAGTAAGCATGGGAGTACTAAATTAATAATAAAACTTGTTTGTTGATATACAATAAAATAAACTCATTTACAAAAAAATAAATATGACATTCAGGTTGTTTTGTATATATTTTTTAAAAACAATAAAAACTCTGAACCGAAGGAAGAGAGTTACGTACTGTTAGTTATGCCATGGAGAGGTTGTCTGTTATATATAAACTCTGAACTCATACTGGTGATCTGAGTAACGTTGTATGTTTAAAAAAAGAAGGAATCAAGATCACTAATGATCAGTAAATGAGTTAACCCAAGTAATAAACTGACCTGCCAATTGTGGACGCAGATAATGGAGAAAGATTTTCTACAAAAAAAAAATTTACAAAGTCCATTATATAAGAACACAACTAATTGAAGTTTATGGAAGATTGCTTCTCTACATACCATTAAAAGGAAACAATTTAATAATGTGTGGAAGGGAGGAATTAGATACGATTTTATCATAATCATAACCGTGTGTTATATTACGCTAAGAAACAACGTTTAAAAACTTGTTGACGAAAGAAACAACGAAACAAACCATTTGTAATATTATGTAGCCGTTGTTTGTTGCAGCTTATGTCATTCCTTATGTTGCCTACCTCAGAAATGCCACATATTTAAAAAGGAACAATAACAAAATTAACTAAATTGTGTTGAGATTTATATACAAAATCCATTGGTAAGTAATATTTATGACGAATTAAAATTACCTGCCAACAGGGGAGGGAGAAGACCCCAAAATATTTTCTACACATCAATGATTTCAATGAATTAGATATTCCAATGAGAATTAACTGTCAAACGCAAGAACATAAATCGTCGTTACCAGTCAACTGATTCGATTCAATGCGACCTTGGTTCCTTCTTTTCCTCGAAGGAGTTTCGAATTCAATTTCGTCGTTAGACATGACGGTATTAAAACGTTATATACCTGCGTATGAGATGCTTCACAACGTACAGGACAACCCAAGCTTGATTAACTCGCTCACTGTTGCAAGAAGAGGATGCTTAAACCACAGTTCAGCTGAGTGTCGGCAGTGGGAATATGAAGAGACAATCTTATGAGTTAACATATAAAGAAAAAACATTATAGGTTAAAAAATGAAAAGACAACTCCTATCTTGGCGGGAAACGTTAAATGGGGTTCTTTTTTTTTGCTGTGACACATAAACATTTTAATACAATTGGGAAAGCTGATTCCTTGGCGGCACTAGTTTTGTTTTTTGGTGTCAAAACCAATGGGCAATAATTTACTCCCCACTTAGGGATGCTCACTCGATGACAGGGAAGTTTCTTGATGCATGACCTTTGGCATTCTAAACCCTTCACTCACAGCGTCAATGAACAAAGAATGAAGCACATGGGAGTCATTTATGGCAATGCTATATCACAATCCAATACTCCTTCATTGGTCTGTTGCAACGCGGATTACACAATCGACTTATATAATTAAAAGACTTTTTGAACTAAAATAGGAAACCAACCAAAACAATTTTTAAGCCAACAAACAGTCATACTAAGTCATATTTGTAATGCGTCCATAATCACAAACTTAACACAGATGAAAATTTGGATTAGTTATTATAATTGATGTAAGTAATTAAAAAAATCCCCAACAGTTTGTGTAGTTTCAAATTAATGCTGGATTCAATTATTTATTATCAAGGTGCACTCCAATAGCCAAAGACTCGAAATTCAATTATATACAGGGCAAAAACATTCTCTGCTAATATGAGTCTTATTGTTCCAATGCATAAACTCTTGTCCATTATTTACTCTACAAACGAAATCGCATGTTGGGGATAGTGGGAAGTTGAAAACGGTGACTGTTGAGAAGTGTGTTGAGTAAAATATCGAAACCCTAAACACACAAATAGCTATATTTTTTTTTTATAACCATCAGTTTAAGTTGGGCCTGCATTTTATTTCAAAATCAAATATTGTATAATTTGAAATCGTATCCTAATATGTTTTTAGTAGTTATAAACGTTATTTTTTTTTGATAAAAAAAGACATTTTTTGAATTCCAATGATCAAAGGTTAACAAAAATTCAAACTTTAAATTTTAAAAATAAGAAACCAAAATTTGAATTAAAACTACTTATTTTGTTAGATTGAAATCGTATCGTAATCTGTTTTTAGTAGTTATAAATGTTATTTTTTTTGGATCAAAAAGACATTTTTTGAATTGCAATGAACAAAGGTTAATAAAAATTCAAACTTTAAATTTGAAAAATAAGAAACAAAAATTTGAATTAAAACTACTTATTTTAACAATAATGATTTGAAAATTTAATAAACGTCAAGATGTCAAGAAGATGTGTTTATTTGAAAAAAAAAGGAAATTTTTGGATTTCAACACTGCAACACATCACATAACATGACATAGATCAACAGCTTAGGTTTGCATTGCAAAAACACAGCGTTTATCAAATATATCAATATACATTCCATAAGCACTATCATTGGCTGAACTAAACACAGCAAAACATCACAAAACGTTTGAATATTTAATAAATGTCACGTTAAAAAAACGATTTAAACATTTCAAGATGTAACTCCAACAAAAAAACGTGAATTCAACATTTCTGTAAACATCTTGTCTCCAAGACACAAAATACCACTCTTCAGTCACAGTAGCTCAATCTACGGGGTATTCTCATCTGCTTCTGCGTCAAATCTATTTAAAAAAAGGAAAAAAAATTCGTTGATCAGCATTTAAAAAAATATAAAAGCAAATGACATAGTTTGCACATTATATTACGAAAAGAAAAAGAAAATACATGCCACACGATTGAATTATAAATATAAATTTGAAAATACGTAAATCTTTTTCAATATATACTATATTATATATATTAAAAATATTATTTAATATAAAAATATGTCCTAACGTGTCGAAATCTAATATTTTTTGAAATTAAAGTGTCGTATCGTGTCGTATCCCGTGTCCCGTGTCGGTGTCTGTGCAGCGTAGGTGTCTACCTAGCATATGTTAGGCAAAAAGGCAAAAAAATTAAATATTGCTATTTTAATAATTATTTACAAAAATACAGCTGTTTTGAAATTAAATATGAGTCTGTTGCATTCAGTCACGCCCAGAATCTGACGTGACCACTGACGCCCAGAACCAAGCACGACCCAGGAGAGAGAGATGCCCTGCATAGGGCGGGCATGACCAAGGAGGAGAAAGACACGTCCAGTATGGGACGTGAGTAACGGGAAAGACACACCCTATTGAGTGGTCACGTCCAATTCTGGGCGTGACGTCACGTCCATTCTGATTATAATAGATTCGTATTTGGTTTCAAAACAGTTGTATTTTCGTAAAAAAATTATTAAAAATACATGTGAATAACTTTATTATAACTTTAAGATAATATCCATTTAAAAAAATCTCAAACAAATTCATCAAATAGCATGTAGGTGTCCCAGGTAATGTATTGTACAACACGACATATAAGGATATTTTTTAAGGGATGAATGTTCTAGGAGATAATTATATTTTCTACATAAATATAAAAGCATGTGGGACTTATGTGAGATAATGTGAAGAGAATAGAGAAAAAAAATGGACTTCGCACACTTTTATGCAAGTGTAAGAGATAAAATTATCTCTTACAACATGAGAAACATTAATCCTATTTTTTAAATATCCAAATTAATTATCATTTTTAATGTTATCAATAATTCATTCAGAGGAGAAAAAAGACTACATTTTTAATTTCTTCGAACTAAAAGGGTTTTATCATTGCAACGATTTTAGTAGATAGATTGTTGGCGCAATAAGATCTGCGAAAGCGTAAAGACCATTGTGGTTTGAAATGCAACAAATCATTAGGGTTCTTGGTCTCATAGAGTTTTACCCTTGTAACGCAGATCTGTGAGAATTTCCTTTTGTAGGTGTGGTGATCATTCTCGTCTTTGCTGCCACAATATTTCCTCCTTCATGAACTAACCTTCATATCACAACACGAACATGCCTCCTTGCTGAAGATGCATGATCAAGTCTCTGAAGATGGCCTCAGGAGGATGGTAGTATCTTTCATATTATTCTCAAGTTCCAGATTATTCTCAAGGGAAAAAGAAAGAGTGTGGGCACTATAGAACTTCAGTTTTTACATCTGTTAGCAGCAGCCTTGGAGGCTAGAGATTAAAATGAGAATAGGCATAAAAAACCCTAACCTTAAGAATTTTGAGCTCTAAATTTCTTGGATTCTTCTCATATACTGAATGTAATTGGACTTGATAAAATACATAGACCCAACATAGAAATCATTAAAACTCCCTTCAAAGAAAATTATGGTGAGCATTTCACTAAAGTGCATGATTTTGTTTTCAAACAGTGAGTCAATAGGTAATCAGGACAATAGTAGTAATAATAACCCCCACTACAAAATCCCAAGCATATCCATCGATCAATCACAATAGTAATGGTGGATAGAGCAATTGTCGACGCATTACGAAATATGACAACATGGGACACTATAGTCATCTCAAATAATGAATCTTTGATTCACAATGACGAATAATACTGGAAGGAAAATATATCCTCTCAAGATAAATAAAACATGACATGATCATATGAAAAAAATATAATTGTTTATAAGTAAATTAGAGATGATGATTTTGTAATTACATTTTTCAATATTTTTTTCTCTTTCTTTTTATCAATATTAATCCATTTTTGTATGATAATAATTTTCTCACATGACCATATCATGTTTTATTTAACACAAATTTTTATTCTGTCCATTGTCTAGTAGTTAAAAAACAACATAAGTAATTTTGTACGTGTTGTATATTGTTTGATATGCATAAGTATTGAATAGATTAATACAATTTTTAATAGGAAATTTTATTTCTCGTGTTATATGAGATAATTTATCTCATGCAACACATAATAAATGGGTGATGCCCACTTATCTTTTCTCTTTCTTCTCCTTAGTGGATCTTACCTACTTTTTGTGTTACATGAGACTCATGCAAATAATATCCCTTTTTAACATACCCTTTATAGATGAGAGAAATAAACAAAAAGTGGGACCCACATTGCACATGTGTGTGCATGAGAGAATTTCTCTCTCACGTTACATGTGAGAGAAATTCTCTCATGTACACACAAAGTGCAATGTGGGTCTCATTAAATAGAGGAGAAAGAAAAATAAAAAGTGGGACCCACATTGTACTTGTATGTGCATGAAAGGATTTCTCTTTCATGTTACATGAGAGAGAAATTGAGAAATTCTCTCATGCACACACAAAGTGTAATATGGGTCCCGCTAAATAAAGGAGAGAGAAAAATAAAAAGTGAGATCCACATTGTACTTGTATGTGCATGAAAGGATTTCTCTCTCATGTAACATGAAAAAAGTAATACCTGTAGTTTTATGAGAAGAATGTTTTTATCGCAAGATGGGGATAATTTTATCTCTAACAGCCATATAAAAGTAGGTGAAGTCTTATGAAGAGAGGAGAGATAAAAAGAAAAGTGGGTTCGCCTAACTTTTATGTAAGTGCATGAAATAAAATTATCTCCATCCTATAGGAGAAACATTAATCCCTAATTTTATATAGTAATTTGTTTATTTTGCATTTAAAAAATATACATAATAGGATTTTAATTTTATTTATAATGTATTAATGATGTTAATATTTTTATTTTTTATTTTTTTTGGTACATATGATGTTAATATTTTTAATTAGCTTTTATATTTATCATACGATTATACATAAAAAAAATATTTTGGGTGGTGGAATAATATAACGTGATAGGGTCGACGATTTATTTGTTCTGTGAAGTAAATAAATTTTAAAAATATAACATTTTTTCAGTCATGTATTTTCATTTATTATGTTATTTTAAAATTTTAATATCTAAAAAATATTTTCATATATAAATTATTTC